AGTGACCAATTTTTTAGATCTAGAGAAAATGCGATTTAAAATATTCTGAATTTTTTTTAAAACAGAATTTTCAGCAGCACAGAACGACAACAAAATTCAAACTTATGTATATGGATAATCTTTCACGAATTTTTTTTTAAAGATTAGTTCAAATTTAGTGGAGAAATGAAATTTTAAAAAAATCACATCTCTTGTGATATTTATTGAAATTGTGGGTCTTTTGAAATTAAACTTTGCACAAAAATTTCTTTTATTTGGATGGAAATTTTGCCCACTATGACGGTCGATTACGCGCGGGGCCGGAAATCACCTCCTTAATTCGCTATACCCTTTGCAGAAACCAAGCAGCTAGTCTGCTGACATAATATGACAGCAAATTGGTGATAGGATCTATACAAACTGATGACAGCAGAAATTGAGCAGATTGTTCTCAACCGCAGTCTTGTAGGCTGAAATCGAGCAGGATCTGCGCTGTCACTGAAAACTTGCAAGATTGCCGTTGGGTATAGTATTTGTTAACATTTCTTACATTTAAAATTTATCGAGCTGTATACATAAATTATCTATACATACAATCAACTTAATCAAAACTCGGGCATGTCATAATTATTAATTATGTGTGCTTTTGATATAAAAGATAAATAATGATTTTGCACCAAAAAGCTAATAAATATAGTATTTAAAAAATTGTCGCTAGTATATAGAGAACAAGCGATATATTTTCATCGTTTATATATCATTTTATGATAGCTTTAGATTAGAATATTCTCGGAATCAAATGCTTTAATTTAATGTTATTATAATAAATATGTTAATTTTTATTAATAAAATAGTTAAAAATTATTTGTTTAACATAAAATTAAGATTAGAATTGAAACATCGTTTTTAAAGATTTCTTTATTTCAATTTGAATGTTTACAAAACCGCAGAATCTGTCCGTTTTCTGTTACCACTCTACTGTCAAACTATATATGAGCGCGCAAGTTCACGTTTTCGACAAAACGTAAACAAAATGCGTTGTCAGATGTTAACAGAGTTCGCTCTATTAACATTTTCTGATCAAATCTGCTACCAGTTCAGGAGACGCGGTAACGGCTTCCACCAAGTATATTTTTGTTAAGAAAAATTAAAATAATTTTTGTGCGTACGTATTAATATACATATAATATATATACGTTTACACGGAAGACATTAAATATACTGACTTTTTAACTGCCTCGATGATTTTCTTCCTTTAGTAAAAATCGGAGTCCTTAATCCGTGCGCACATATACATCCAAATACCACTGGACAAGTGCGACACACAAGAGGAATCTTCTCCCTTTTTATTATTAGTGATCTAATGTTCTGCACACACTCCACATAATAATTCGATCGTTTCTGTTTGTCACTTACCGTCTTAAGACCTGAAATTCTGCTACCTACGACTGGTCGTTTTGCATGCACACCAGGAGCGGCCACGATAAATCGCACACCCTCAAGCGCGTTAATTTTTTGATTTTGAGAATGATCGGAATCTGAAAATTGCCATGTGTCATCCAAGTGTGTTAGGAAAGTGTTACGTGTCATTCAAATGTTCTAGAAATTTTTTATTCATATAGTTATCTATATAATCAAAGAAAATTTTTGTTTTATACGTGATGATCAAATGAATTTGCTCGGATAACTTAAGAAAGAGACAATGATAATTATCGAAATTTGAAATAAATCTGCAATGCAAAGCAAAAATCACGTTTCCATATAACAGGGAAAATCTGTGAAATAAAATTTTTAATGCAATAATACATGTTCAATTAAATTATGGTATATTTTTAAATTACACTTTGATATGAAAGATGTGGAATTTCATATTTTACAATAAGTCCGATTCAATTGTAGTTACGTTTGTGTTTTTAAGTGATTTCACAAAATTTCAAATCTACGAGCAGATAATATGAATTTTGATAAATAAGAACTGAAACAACTCTTATACTAAATCAACAAATTTTAAAAATAATATGGATATTTTTATATTTTTATTTTTATCGCATTATTTACCCATAATGTAATCTTATATATTTTAAAAAATATATAAAATATTGATAAATAGAAAAAGGTAGAAGAAAAGGGAACAAGTAAAAAATTTTATTACAATTTGACGTAACAAATGCATTATTTAAATATGTAATTTTATTTAAAAAATTACCAACAATAAGACGAAATAGGTTGTTTTAAAATATTTAAAAATATATACTGTTTCTGTTGGTACACAAGGCGCCACAAATGCCTACTCATCTGAAATTGCAGGGTCACATATACGTATATATTATTATATATACATATATATAATACATATACATGGATTAGTATCCCTGCAAATTCAGATGAGTAGGCATTTGTGACGCCTTGTGTACATGAAAAACAAGTGGCATAAGTTTTGTTTTTCTGTGTAAAGAATTGTAGTTACGTCGTTGTTAATTATTGGGTGTTCTTTACCGCTTTGGCATTGCAACATTTTTCCATGAACGTTCCGTGTAATATACGATTATCAAGTAGAGGAAGGTCGCCGATAATTTCTCCTTCTTTTGGACTATTTCGTTTTGAACTAAACTTTTTAAACAAACGCTAAGCGAAAAACTTTAAAAATATAAATATCTAGAAAATGTCTTTTATCTAACAAGAGATTATAGCAGTTTTCATATACAGTATTGTATTTTGGAAAAGTAACGCGTTACTTATAACTATGTTGTTACTTGTTTTCGTTATTTTCTTTCAATAACAAATGTTATTTTTTTCTATCTGTAATAATAACAATAACTTTGTTATATTTTTACAATAACAGTAATGAATTTGTTATTTTTGTTGTTACTTTTTTATATCTTTATTTTCATATTTTATAATATGTTTTTAATTTATTAATCTGAATCGATCGTGGAATATATCAGGCAACTAAGATGAAAAAACGCCAACACAGTATAAAATATTTTGATACTTAATAATATTTTTATATGTGAATCTTACGATTCTCACAATTAATTTAAGTAAACTGCGTGTTGTATGTAATCTACCTTTAAAACACAACTCTATAAATAGTACGAAATATCACAGTTAAATTGCAACTTAATAATTTGCAACTTAATAACTTAATAATTTTTTAAAAAGCAACTTAATAATTTGATAATCAGCATCTTTTACTTAAATTAAGAATTGTAAGATTCACATTTAAAAATAATATTAAACAGCAAAATCCGCTTTACCATATTGGCGTTTTTGCATATATGTTATTTTTAATTTATTATCTTAAAATATATTTTGTATTCTATATCTCTTATAAGCTACATTTCAATAATTACTACCAATATTGAAAATCTATTATATATAATTCACATTACTTATTTATACTATGGATTTTCAGTATTAACAGTGAGTATTGGAATGCATTATTAATAATAACATCAATGTTTAAAAAATAATAAATTTAATCTAACTTTCTGTAAAGATAAATAATATAAAGAAAAACTTGTTCTATACAAAGTAATTTATTTATAATAAAAAATACAAATATATCAAAAAATATAGCAGATACGGATAATTCTTTCAGACAAAAGTTACGGTCTAAAAAAGATAAATATTAATAAAATTAATTTTTAATGTCAAAAAAATCAATTTTTCAAAGTCATATAAAAGTCATTGCTTTTTTAAAATGGAATTTTATAATTTTTTTACATAATATGATTCCTCTAATTATATTGCATTTAAAAGTATTAACTTAAAATTTTCGAAAAATCAGGTGTATAAGATATCTTATATTTCTATATATTCGGCATAGTATGTGGTTTACTAATTAAATTACTATGACAGTGTTAATTGAAAACCTTTTAACTTAGCAATGCTTTCATAAATCGAATCTTATATCAGAGATAAAAACGTGTTTGCTAATGGCATTCAAACTGCTGATAGCAAATAAGAAAAAGGAGAATAAAGAGAGGAAGAAAGCAGTATTGTTGCACTATGTAGAATTTAATTTACAAGATATATTCTATTCGATATTGAATATGGAAGTAGCTGAGGAAAGTTTTTAGCCAGGGGTTTTATTCTCTAAAAATTTGCATACAAAAATGTACAAAAATATTATAGTGTATACACGTTACGTATACTATGAATTGCCCTAATATTTTTGTATGTGAAATTTTTTAAGAGTAAGACTTTAGAACAGTGCAACTATTAAAAACAACTTTAAACCTAAAATAAATACAACATACGAAAAGTATGTTTCCAACGCAAAATGCAGAAGAAATGATAACACAATACATTATAAGACTGCAGAAGCAAGCAAGAAACTGCAATTTCGATTACGTGGATATAGAAATTTGTAGCCATATAATTGAAAAATTATTCGACATCAACGATTATTGGAGAAATCCGACATCAAATTAGAGGAGAAATAGATATTATTAAAACTACTGAAGTAGTTTTACTACAAACCAAAATGGCAGAAAAACCAGTGGCCCTGCTAGTGGAGAAGAAAAAACAGATAAAGAAAAGGACATAAAAAATGCTGAGGTCGAATATTTCTGATGGATACAAAGAACAAATATGAAGAATAAATGTGCGGATGAGAAGTGCCCAGTAAAAGAGAAGATTTAAAATAAATGTGAAAAATGATTATTTTGTAAGAGTTTGCGAAACAAACTGAGACGACTAACGGCAACGGAGAATAAGGAATTCAGAAACTCGATGAAAAGACAGAAGAAAAGGATGGCTATGCATTCGAATTGGAGAAAAGGGAGAACTACATCAACACCATGGATGGGAAATGAATCAACGCGGTAATAGAGTGTAATTTAATGTATAATTAACACGGTAATTTTAAATTTATTGGTAAATTTATAGGGACATTATGTAATATATAAGTACGTTTACAATTCCTCGATTTCGGATCGGATACCAACAAACCCGTCTCAGTATCCATCTCTTACTTAACCCTTATTATCAGATGTAATGTCTTTCAGCTTATTCGTACTTGCTTACAGAAGTTACAAATGTATCTGGCTCGCAGCTAGCCTTACAATTGTATGTATATAGGTATACTTCTGCTACCGCTCTCAATCCCAAGAGCCAGTCTTCGCCAGTCACGTGTGTATCGCGACTCATTAGTACCGTACACGTACATATATACTATAGGTCTATAGATAAATAATACCTTTATTCCATGCTTTCTCTCTTCTGTTCAATTTTGATCCAATTATATAATAAAATTTCTTTCGACTGTATTAGTATACGAAATATCTAACCCCTATCTTAAGATTATTAAACAGTCAGCGTTTTGTATAGATTTTATTTGCAGCATTATCTTTCCCGTGGATTACATCGTTGACAGAATACCTTCTGTCTAACGGAGAACTTTTTTCAACCGCTGAGTTATGTCGTCTAGAACGTATACGCCGCGCTATTGCGGGAAAGAATAAATTAATATCTAATTGTTCTTTCTTGTTGTTTTGATTCTTAATAAAAAAACGAGATAAATTGCTGACAAGCAGTCCAAGTAAGAACGTTATTAAGAATCCGAGGGGAAAATACCACAGATTCGAAATGCGATATAAATAGAAGTATGAGCTGTCGCCAGTACTTCTGAAAAAAAAAATACGACAATAACTCGTTAGATAACTTTGCGGCGTATACATACATAGAATGTAAGAAATACAACTATTATTCGATGAACCACTTACTTAGAAAAGCTCGTGACATTCCGCAAAATAGGCATCGTTATATTTGTAACATTATTAACACAGCCACCGATAGTAGTTGGCAATTTAGGTGACATCGAGCGAGGTTGACCGAAAGCGATCCAGATTAAAAATGAAAACGCTACGAGAACACCCGTTATTGCACCGCCTTCTGTCGCCGATTCCGTTCCCATGCCAAGCGTAAAAATACCTAACAACGGTCCACTGGTTATTCCAAAAATAGTGTGATAGGCCTACAATAAAGAAATTCTTTTTATTGCCATCGACTTTACGTTTAAATAATGAGCATTACTTGAAACAATCCTCCCAAAAATTGAGCTAAAAATGCCAGCACAATGGAAAAAATGCCGAACGTAAACACGAGCACTTTAGCGATAGAAGTCGATTTTGCAGAGGAAAATTCATGCCCGATGCACTTTCTATAGAAAGGTTTTATAAAATCCTCCAACATTACGGCCGCCAGAGAATTTAAAATCGAAGAAATCGTGCTAAGACTTGCGCTAAAAACACCTGGAAATACATACAGACAGTCAAAGATTAGTATTAAGTATTCACTACGCGTTTTTATTTGAAATATATTTGTTATGTATAAAACAGAGAATCCAAGATGACAATCGCAAACACATTAACTGCGTAATTTTATTTCACAATTGTCTTAAAAATACGCCTAAAATCATATTTCAAACATTGATACTTTCAGATATTCCTAATATGTAATTTCTGTGAGAGATTAAGCCAGGACAAGATCAATTCGCGTTAAACACATTACCTGCCACAAAGAGGCCTGGTAAACCAGGTATATTGGACATCGTGTCCATAACGTACAGTGGCATAAGCATATCAGACGAAGTAATTCTTTTTTTAAGAAATGGATCGCAATTGTGATATCTGCTGTATATCGCCAATCCTGAGAAGCAACTTGTAGTCATAATTAGTATCAAAATGGGCAAAGACAGCCATATAGCTCTTTGTGAAGACTGCATATTTCTAAAACAAAATTTACTTAATACAATTTTTTTTAATTTCTTTATATATATAATTTAATAAACGTGATCTTAAAAATGAAAATTATTTAATGAGTTATGAGATAAACAGAAGAAAAAACTAAAATTATATGATTAACTGTCATCTTTTCACATACGACAAATAAAGAGTCAACACTTGCTCTACTATATTTAATAATTTTCAATCTTATCTAGTTACTCGTTAGAACATACTTCACAGCCAGCATACGTTGTACTTGTACTTGGTTCACTCCAAAAAGTACTAGAAATTTACAGAAACCACCCAGTATAACAGACCACAATGTATGTTTTACTGTTGGATCTAAATCAATGCTGTAAGAAAAGTGAAAGATCAATTAATGTTTACGTGTACATAATTGGCCAAGCTGATATTAATGCAGACAAGATGTAATCCTACTTATAAAACTCGAGCCGTTGCCCTTGCCTTGCGATTTCCCATATCTGTCCCAATCCCCCGACATCATTCGCTGCTGTGCCAATAATTAAAAACAGGGCGGCGAACATAAGTAAAATTTGAAATACGTCGGTTGTTAATACAGCTTTAATGCCTCCTACACTAGAATAAGAGGCACACACAAAGCCAATGAAAATGATACTGGCAATCTTGGAGATTCCTGTAGTTGTCTCCAAAGCTAGAGAAGGAGCACAAAGTACTACTCCTGAATAAAATAGCAGCTGAATCCAGTAAATAAAACTAATCATCATCCTAGCTCTTATTCCGAAACGTTTTTCTAAATACTAAAAGAATTCCTTCATAGTATTCCTTCAAATATACGTATTATCAAAAACATTTTGTAGTAAAAATAAATTTCGCTAGACTCACCGCGTAGATGCTCGTCGCCTGCAGATTGTAGAACACTGGTAGAAATCCATAACATATAATCGAAGTGCCTAACAGATATGATAGATTTATTACAACATATTGCGTCCCGTACGTGTAATTCTCAGCGGATACAGCGAGTAGCGTAATTGCAGTTATAAAGGAGGCTACCATGGCGATAGCAACTGGTACGCTGCTCATTGATCGATTTGCAACAAAGTATTCCTGTGAAACACGTCACATTTTATTATAGCAAATCATTAAAAACTTTATTTTAACAAAAGGAATCTAACAACATTAAACACCTGAATAGTTTTTTGACGTCCTCCACTAAATCTGTAATAAATACCAATTCCTGTACTAACGCACAGCATCACCGCTATAACTAAATAATCGATCCATCCTAAAGTATTTATTTCTGCCATTTCGTCTAAAATATTAAATTAATATAATTAGCCGTGTTGCAAAAGAAGGACGATATAAATAACATAATAATGATGCAGATAGAACCAATTAATTGGATTTTTTTTTAATTGTCAATGTGCAATAATTTTAATCTGTTCTGTGTGTATCATTGTACAACAGTGCCGTATTAGCATCGAAACTAACATGTGCAATAGAGTTTAGGTGGGTGATAAAAAAAATATCTCTAAAAATATTTGCCAGTTTTTGACAGACGCGAATGATTGAGAAAATAATTTAGTGCGGTATAGGAGCGGCGTGTGTCCTAATCCTCTTGTACAATAATTGTATGATATATGTTTAACTTTAATTATATTTTGATTAATTTTACATAAATAAGCAAGATATGCACTTTATTTATTGTGCTATTTACTGTTTCTGGTATTTGATACCATATTATACCTTTTTTTCACTCTTTTTTCTATACTTTTTTATTATTTTATTAATACCGGAATTAAATTTAAATCTTGACGATTTTTATTGACAATGTAGCTGATATGTTTCTTACTTAAAACTTTTGCACAAATTAAAAGTCTTAATATACATTTACACTTAAAAAAAGTTAATTTTAAGACGAATTTTTTTCATATTACTTGCTTTTATTCAAAATGCTGAATGCCTTTTAACACCTTGTATATGTACACACATGTAGTGTGTGTGTGTGTGTGTTTATACGCGGAAAAAAATTACTGTTGCCACAACATAATAATTGTGATCATTTTCGCTTAACAATTCAAAAAAGTTATAGGAACTAAAATACTTTGGAAATAACTTATATAGCTAACTGAAGTCTCAGTCTCAATGTGCCATGCAATTATATACATCCTATATATCTCTCAATCATACTATTTGTTGTGTAGATCACTTTGGGAAGATAATAATAATGTTTCGGTTGAGGTGAACTACATATACGAATTTAAGATATTTTAACCGAATGTTACTTATCATAAGGATTACGTTTGCGAGAACCGTATAGATTTCAATATCAATATATAATTTATAATTCACATACATTTCTTTCTTAAACATAGAAAATATTGTTACGTAACATCCATAGTAATTTTTTCCGTGTATGTATATGTATGTAATACCTCCGCACGGAAGATATTAAATGCAATGCTTTTTTTTGCCTGTCTCGATGATTTGTCTGCCTTAGTGAAAATTAGAGTCCGAAATTCGCGCGCACCAATCTGTTTATTGCAACTGTTACTATAACGTATGTAGGTAGGTATGTATCTATAACTTATACAAGAGGAGTCTTCTCTCTTCTTACCTTAAAAGTAACCTTTTTCAAGTGTCAGACGCCGATTTTTTTCATACTTAGAATTTTGATTCAAAATACCAAAAGATGATTTTTCATGTAAAAATAATTGCTTAATATTAACCGTAGCGTTTATATACGGTATTTTATTTTTATAATAATAGAATAAAATACTTTAGAAACAATGCATTTCTCCCAAAACATTTTAAACAAAAGTTGCTTGGTTTCAAAAGACGTAAAAGTGACCTTCGTTTGATCTTAGAAGTTTCTACAAAAGTCTTATTAATGTAAAACTGAATTTTTAAAATAATATTACATGATTCTTTTACGTAAATCGATTCCTCTCTGCATATGAAAGTATTGGCATAAAATAATCAAAAAGTATATGCATAAATATTTTATGAAGTATTTCATATTTCAAAAAATCTCATAAAAGATATTTCTTACATATGTATTTTTAATATCAGAATATATGTATATATATATGGTGTGGATTCTCTCTTGAAGCCGCAAGCAACTTTACTACTTTCCACATCAAAATAGGCAGATCACTCAATGGCACATATATTGTTAGTGCTCTAACAGAAAATCCGGTGCACGTGTTCCTCTTTTTGATATTGAATTGAATTGTATTTTGATGTTAATGGACTGTATAATACTTTATTCGTTTGCGTCGCTACACTATCTATACTGTCTACTCTGTTTGCCGTTTCGAATCGTACTGCCGTGTAGCAATTCTTGAAAAATAAAAACCTAGCGAATGCTGTATCGTTAGTACTTTTAACTCCCTTGTCGCGGTATTTACCTTCAAACGGGCGTAGATCACATATCTATGAAATGAAAACGCTTATATATCCAAAACTTTTCTGTGTCTACTCTCTATCGTATTGACGACTATTTTCAATTAAAGTACAAAATATTTTTTCACATTTGTATTTTTACATGCAGAATGATAAGAAGAATTTATTTACGTATAAAAAATCATATAATATTATTTGAAAAATTTAGTTAACATTAATAAGATCTTCGTAGAAAAAAGGTCAAATGATTAAGGTTTACGTACATGTCTTTCGAAATCAAGAAACTTTTGTTTAAAACATTTTTTAAAGAAATGCGTTATTTCCGAAATATCCTATTTTATTCGGAAATATTTTATTTTATTTCATTATTATAAAAATAAGATATCGTATATAAGCGCTACGTTTAATATTGAGCAATTATTTTTTGCGTGAAAAATCATCTTTTGGTATCTCAAATCAAAATCAAAAGTATCGAAATGAAAAAATTGGTGTCTGCAAACCTTGAAAAAGTTATTTGTTAATGGCTCGATATTTCACTCACATGGTAGTTCGATTGTTTCTGTTTGTCTTTTACCGTCTCGAGACCTGAAATTCTGTCACATGCGACCGTTTGTTTCGCACACGTCAGAAGCGGTCACGATAGCTTGCAGCTCAAGCGAAGGAACATTCTTTTAATCGTCAATTTCTTCGATTTCGATTAATTGTAAATTGTTTATAATAATCAGAATCGGTGTTAAATATTGCCACGTGTGCCATTTAAGTGCATTAGGAAATTGTCACGTATCATTCAAGTACTTTATTTTTCCTTCATATAACAACTATTTATGTATAACATGAAAAAATTCCCATTTTATATAGGTGATGATCGCAGAGGGATTTGTCTCAAATATAACTTAAGAAAGAGATAGTGATAATTATTGAAACATGAAATAAATTTGCAGCGCAAAGTAGCAGAAATCGTATTTGCACAATAGTAGAGAAAGTCTGTGAAATAAAATTTTTATAATTTTATATTTTCAATTAAATTCTGGTGTATTTCTCAATTACATTTTGATATCAAATGCGAGAAGTTTAATATTTTAGAATAAAGTTTTGTTCAATTGTAGTTACGCTTGTTCGTGAGAGATTTTATAAAGAATTAGTATGTAAAATTAGAAAAATTATATAATGCAAAACCAATCGTCATGAAACTTAACACAGACATAGTATGAAATAAAATATGACAAAATCTAATCAAAATCTAACGGTTATGCATAAATATAAATGGAACCAGCAATAAGAAAAAATAAATTGTTTTGGAAATATTTGAAAATACAACGATGTTTCTATACGTGAGAAACAAATTCTACAAGTTTTATTTTCCTATTTCAAAATTGTAGCTATGCCGCTGTTAGTCAGTAAATATTCGATATTCTTTAACGCTTTGAAGTGCATTTTTCTGTAAACGTTCTGGCATTGTATATAATTATTGGTTGTATTATTGGGTGAGTAAAGGAAGGTCACCGATAGCATTATACCTTTTGGACTAAACTTCTTAAACAAAAGTTGAACAAAATAACGTTGAAAATATATAAATACAAACTAAAAAATATTTTTTGATAATCTATCTGATAGTGTAGCAGTTTTTATAGTACCGTATTGTATTCAGCAATAATTAACTTTCTCGTATAAAATAATAAAAAATAGCATTTGAATAAGTGACACCAGAAATTGATATAAGTAGGAAGAATAAACAAGTCCTATAATAAAGAGATAATAATAAAGTAAATTAACAAATATATAATTAAATATGATTCTCGTTAAACAAATTTATAAAATTAAAAATATTGCAGAACCAATAATAACAATTTAAGGCTAAGAAACTAAAAATAACAGTTAATCTAAAAATAGGCAATTTAAATTAAGAAATCAATGTAGATAAAGTTAATTAACTAGAAATCACATAATAGGAAAAACAAAAATCAGGTTGTACAATTAATTACATACCACCGTATACAACATACAAACACACATTATCGAACACCCTTTGGAAAACGTTACATTTGTGTTGTAATTCCACGTACATGTATAACTGCCTAACTTTTCGTATTAAAACAAAGGTATTTAAAAAAATATTGAATAAATTAAGCGCCTGTGCAAAAAGAACGTAAATTTTCTTTGTAAGTACGGAAAAGTTTAACATCTATTAAAGATTACAATTAAAATGTTATATTTTCGCAATAAATTTCTTTACAAAGTCGATGAGAATTGTTCGTACAGATGCAAGTTAGCATTTATTTGACGTCGCGAGAGAGGGGAGATTTATTAAAATAAATGCTTTGAACATCGATTTATTAGATTGCCTTCGGCAATTTAATTGTGATATTACATACTACTCGGTTTGAAGCTGCGTTAAAGCACGCGATTTGTGGCCACGTGGTGTTATATGAAAATTGTAGGATTCACACTAATATTATATAGAAACACCAAGATCCGCTTTGTATCGTGTAGGCGTTATGCGATCTCAATTGTTACAATTCCACGATCTTTCCTGATATTTAATTAAAATGTTATAGTTGTGCACAGATTTTATCGGCGGCATCGTCTTTCTCGTGAATTACGTCGCTGAGAGAATATCTTCTGTCTAACGAAGAATTTCCTTTATTTGTTATTTTGTCACGTCGCCTAGAATGTATACGTCGCGCTATTACGGGAAAGAATAAATTAGTATCTATCTCGTCATTTTGATTTATAACAAATAAACGAGACAAATTGCTAACGAGCAATCCAAGTAAGAACGTTATTAAGAATCCGATAGGACAGTGCCACATATACGAAATGCGATACAAATAGAAGAACGAGTTGTCACCAGTGCTTCTGAAAAAGAGATACGACAATCAGTTAAACAATATGTAGGTATGTACATACAGTCGTGGACAGATTGGTTGTGGATTTACTTTTTTTATAGGTTTTAAGACGCACTAATATTTTGCAAATGAACCACGATTGGTGTTATACTGTCCCTAAATTAAAGATAGTACATCGTGGTTCGTAATTTGCAAAATATTAGTTACCTATAAAATTATATGGATATATTATATATATTAAATATATATTAGAAATCTATAAAAAAAAGTGTCGCAACCGATCCGTCCACGACTGTACATACAATAAACGTATAAATGGAAAAAACGATTCGAAAGTATATTACAATTAAGACAGATCTAAAAATGTTCAGGCAACCAAATCTGTTGAAAATAGTTTTTGAAAGTGTATACTACAAATTTTGACGATAGAACGCTAACAGAAATATCAGAATCAACGAATAGAATATAATGATAGATTACAAAAATTTAATAGAATACATTTTGTAATCATTTAAGTATTTTAAATAATGTATTTCATATAAATTTTCATGAAATTGTTATGTATTCCGATTCTGCACTGTTTTTGTTGGCAATTAATATTTTATCAAATTATATAAATTACAGTTTAATGCAGACGATATATTGGATATATGAATTTGGCAATATCTGAGAAAATCTCTTGCTAATCTGTTGCCATACCACAAAAAGTTTACTTACTCATTATAAGTAACTATATGTTAAATCATCAAAATTATGTATTACAATTTAGCCGTTAGTTGATGACATTGCCGAAAGAAATTTTGACATTATAACAACTAATTCAAGCTGATAGTATTACATAATTATTTTGATAATCTAATAAAATTATTCATATGCATATGGTCTAATTTTAATACTGTTTTGTAAAATCGTTTCTTCCGTGTAGCTATTAATCAATGAATTATTACTTGGAGAAGTTCGTGACGTTGTGCAAAGTGGACATCTTTATATTTGCAATATGATTATCACAGCCTTCGATACTAGTTGGCAATTTAGATGGTATCGGACGAGGCTGACCGAAGACGATCCAGGATAAAAATGAAAACGCCACGATAACACCGGTCATCGCACCGCTTTCCGTCGCGGATTCCGTGCCCATGCCAAGTGTGAAAATACCTAACAATGGACCGCCAGTTATTCCCATAATAGTGTAGAAAGCCTAAAATGACAGAAATTTATTTTATCGCCACTAATTTTTTTAATTTAGAAATATTTATAAGCAATACCTGATATAATCCACCTAAAAATTGCGTTAAAAATGCCACAGCCATGCAAATAATACCATATGCAAAAGCGAGCACTTTAGCGATGAAGGCTGACTTTGTAGGGGAGAATTCATGACCAATGCATTTTCTGTATAAGGGATTTAGATAGTCCTCCAATGTTATGGCTGCCAAAGAATTTAGCATCGCAGATATCGTGCTGAGAGTTGCACTAAAAACACCTGAAAGTAAAGGACAGAGCAAGATTAATATTATAAATATTCACTACGTACTGTCTTGATTATACATAAAAGGGATAGTCCAACAGTATTAGTATTGTAAATACATCCACGTTTTTAATTTAAAATTCTCTTGAAATTATGTTTTGGAAGTTTGGTTTAATTGGTATTTTCAGATATTCTTTATTTTCATAATTTGAAACATGTAATATCTACGATTAAGGATCAGTCGATTCGCGTTAAAAATATTTACCTGCTACAAAAAGGCCTGGTAAACCAGGTATATTAGACATCGTGTCTACAACGTACAATGGCATAAGCATATCAGGCGAAGTAATTCTTTTCTGGAGAAGTGGATCGCAATTGTGATATCTGCTGTACATCGCCAATCCTGAGAAGCAAGTTGTGGTCACGAGAAGTGTTGTAATTGGCCAAGACAACCACAAGGCTCTTTGCGCAGCCTGCATATTTCTAAAACAAAATTTATTTATGCAGTTTTCTTCAATTTTTTTAAACATAATTTAACAGGTAAACGTGATATTAAAAGAGAAGATTATTTAATAATAAGAGAATAAAACATTACAATTATATGCGATTAACTTGTTATCGTTTTCACGAAAAATACGAAAATAAAGCGTTGCAGCAGTTGCTCCAATATATTTGATAATTTTTAATGTCATCTAGTGTTACTCAAATTATGCAACTTACTTTACAGTTAACATACGTTGTATTTGTATTTGATTCATTCCAAAAGCAGTTAAAAATACACATAAACCACCGAATGAAAGAGACCACCATGTATGTCTTACTGTAGGATCTAAATCAATGCTGTTAACAAACAAAATTAAAATTAGTGACTATGTGTATATAATTTGTCAAGCTCATATGTAGATGTATATACAATTTGCAGCTAATATAAATAAATAGATGCAATACCTATCAAACTCGAGTCGTTGTCCCTGCCTTGCAATTTCCCAAATCTGCCCCAATCCCCCGACATCATTCGCGGCTGTGCCAATAATTAAGAACACAGCGACAAACATAAGCAAACCTTGAAATACATCGGTTATTAGCACAGCCTTAATGCCGCCTATACTCGAATAGAAGGCACATACGAGGCCAATAATAGTGATACTGGCAATCTTGGAGATTCCTGTGGTTGTCTCCAAGGCTAGAGAAGGAGCATAAAGTACCACTCCTGAATACAAAAGCAGTTGAATCCAGTAAACGAAACTAGTCATTATTCTAGCTTTTACTCCGAAACGTTTTTCTAAATACTAAAAGAAATAATATCTCTTTTAATATATGTATGTGTCATCAAAAGCTTTCCATCGCAAAAATAAATTTCGCTAGACTCACTTCGTAGACACTGGTCGCCTGTAGATTGTAAAACACTGGTAGAAATCCGTAGCATACAATCGAAGTGCCCAACAGATATGATAAGTTTATTACAACAAATTGCGTTCCGTATATGTAATTCTCAGCCGAGAAACCGAGCAGCGTAATGGCAGATACAAAGGAGGCCACCATGGCGATACCAACTGGTACGACGCTCATTGATCTACTTGCGACGAAGTACTCCTATAAAGCACGTTACTAATATTATAGCAAAACATTAAAGAGAAATACCTTGTTTTAAGAATCTTTCTTTGATATGATAATCTACAGCAAAATCTGCAGAGACCAATTTTGTTTCAGCAGAACCAATTTTTGTTGGCAGAAATACAACAAATTTCACACAGAGTGTAATATCTGACAATGTCAGCAAACCAGAAATATAAAAAAAGTTTACATTTGATAACAGATTGGCGGCAGAAACTGATCAGGTTTTGTAGCTTTTGCTCGATTTCTGCTACCAGTCTGTCATCAGATCGCCCGTGCGCATCTTGCTCGATTTTCTACCACCAATTTTTTGACATATGATATAGCATATCAATTTTGTCAACAAATACTGAGCCTAATGCGAACACATATGGCTATGAATGACAGTAGAAATCTGATCAAATTTGCTACCAGTAAACTCAATTATATATACAAATGCTAGCAACAAACTATTAATTTTGCTACCAGAGAACAATAATAATCACCTCCGTAGTTTTTTGACGTCCTCCACTAAATCTATAATAAATACCAATTCCAGTACTTATACATAGCATCGTTATTATAACTACATAGTCAATCCATGTTAAGGTATTTATTTTTGCCATTTCTTCTGAAATATCAAAGAGATACACACAGTGTAACAAATAATTTCCTGGAATGGTGCTGTAAAAATAAAACAAATTGAGTTTTTTTAGTTTTCTCTTTTTCTTCATTCAAAATATTCTTCTCCTGATTCAATACACTTTTTGCAACGATTCAACAATGATTCAAATGACTGATCCAGTTTATTTTGTGGTATTGCCTTCAAAGCACGCGTCGAAGCTTGTTGAATTGTTTCCACATCTTCAAAATAGCTCACAGTTAATTTTTGATTAAAAATCAGGTTTGCGTGTTGAATCATTCACCGAATTCGCCTGCTTTAGCGCCATGTGACTTTTCTTTATTCCCCAAAATGAAAATAAAGTTGAAAGGATGCTATTTTAAAGATGTGAAAACAATTTAAAATTTCAAATATTCAAAATTTTTGTCGCTTAATTTTCTTTTAAAATTATCACAGACGCTAGTGAAATAATTGTTTCTTTCTATTCGAAGAAACAAATTCACAAAATGATATTCGTGACAGACACAAAAACTGACTGTCTAACATGTCTGATGATTCAATATATTTTATAGAAAAAAAAATTAGTATCATTATTATTATTATCATTATTAGTTTTTTTTAAAGAAATGACAAAAATTTTAACTTATTAGAAATAAGTTAATGTATTTAAAATTAAAAGTTAATTCATTTGAAAATAATTAAATTAAATTACAAATTAATAACATTTTAGCTTTTAACTATATACATATGTATGTGCGCAATGTATACGTAGTGTCCGCACAATTTTAAATATAATGGTCCTTTAACGCCTGTCTGCTTCGATGATTTGACAGCTTCGATGAAAATCGGAGTCTGGAATATCCGACGCTGAGTTTCTCGGTCTTCTCCTCTTTTAATGGTACTCAGTCTTCTTTGAGGAATCCAATTCCAATAATAACCAATAGTCGAATTTAGCACGTGTATGTATGGTCAAAAATATTGAAGTGTGAACACAAAAGACGATTAGTTTTGTCAGAAGCTTTCAAAAATTTTTTGTCCGTAGTTTTTTCAATTTTTTTAGTTTTTTTTTAGTTCAATTTAACAAATACAACTGAGCAAATGCAACATGGAGAAGCTTTCTCTCTTTTTAACAGTTCACCGCCTCGCACATGCTCACGTAACAGACATGGTAAGTCGATTGTTTCCTTCCTATCGTGAGCTGAAATTCTATTTCCTCCAACCAATTGTTCTACATACATCAGGAATGACCACGGCGACTCGCAAGCCCTCGAAGCACGGCCGCCTTTATTTTTATTGATTTCGATTAATTGTGATTAATTGAGATCGGAATTAATGCTGAAAACTATTACATGTTGTTCAAGTAATTCAGAAAATTATCACGCGTCGTTTAAATGCTCCAGAAAACTATTATTCATGCAACTCTCTGTATTAAATCGGAGAGATTGCTTATTTTTTAGCCGATAATCAGATGGATTTGTCTCAAATATGACTTAAGAAACAGATAGTGATTATCGAAACGTGGAATAAATCTGCAGCGCAAAATCTGAAGTAGCAAAAAAAATCATATTTTCACATTACAAAAGTAAAAATCTGCAAAATAAAATCTTTAGCTGAGTAAAATATACTCAATTAAAGTGTAATACATCTCTGATATCGCTGTATCAAAGACGAAAGATTTATTATTGTAGAATAAGTTCCATTCAATTTTAGACGCGCTTGTTTTTGAGAAAGTCTCATCTAATTATTTAATAATTCCTATAAGTATAAAGTATCATGCATTAGAATTCGGCTAACAAATAAATGTAAAAACGTCTCTATACTAAAAATCATTAAGTTTTAAAGATAATATATTATTATATATTTTTATACACATAATATACATACATGAATTGCATTATTTACCCGTAAATTTCATTCTATATAATTTAAAAAAAATACATAAAGTAAATTGATGAACAGAAGACGATTAAAGAAAAGAATTTAAAGAGAAAATTAAACAAGTTTTATTATAACTTTACATAAATAACGTATTTTACTTTTATTTAAAGGATCTTCCAATATATAAAAAGAGACAAAATTGTTTTAGAAAGATAATATTATTTCAATACCATACTCAAGAAGGCATTAGATATATATAGAAAAATAAATCATTTAAAAAGTTTAAACTTTTATGTAAACGCAAAAATAAATATTTATATTTTTATTTAGAATATCTTTAAATTAATAAAAGAAAAGATAAATTATATTGAAAATGTAGTGTTATTTCTATACGTGAGAGCTAGATGTAATATAAGTATTGTTCCCCCATTCAAAAATTCTAACTACGCCGCTGCAGTAATTATAATATGTACTTTATCGCTAATGAGCTTTGAAGCGTAATTTTCCGTAAACGTTCCGACGTAACATTGAGTCAGAATATATCGGTTATCGGCCGCGTTATCAAATAATAGCGCTATATTGTAAAAAACGCTATATTGTAACGCTAAATATAAAATAAAAGAACGCCGAATATACTTTGTAATGTTTTTAAAGTAAAATTATATTGTAAATAATATTCAAAAAAATCAAATATAATGCCATAAAAATAGAAGTAAAATCAAAATATTATTCCAATATATTTATTAGAATAAGTATCTTGTAATATATACTCTATATATGTATATGCAATCGTAATATAGATTTAATATAGAATGAAAGATATTTAAATTTAAAATCATAGGCCAAAGACGAGCAAATAAATTAATGGATGTTCGATAAATTATTTATTCACGCAATGTCGCGACACTAGTTTTAGCCTGACTCGACCTTTTTCAATCGCATTGAATTTAAACACAAAAAATAAATTAACACATATTATAACATAACGCAGTCAATAATTAAAAAATAACGCTGTCGGAAAATCTCACATGACGGAAAAAGAATATATATATTATAAGTCTAGCACACGCATTAAAACGCCATCCAGAAATTCTTGTGTGACAGATTATAAGATCCATAACGAAATCTAGGTGGTTTTCACATACTGCCATGGGAAGTGCTTCTCTATTGTTACAATTATGTTGAGAGGTTTGTTAATATAAGTTATGTCGAGCCAAAATACCAATCTGGTCAGACTGATGGAAAGCCATTACAACTGATAAATAATTATTCCCAATGTTCGAACTGCACTTTTTCCTATAAAATCGTCAAAAGATGATTCGTTATAGCTATCAAGCTAAAACTATTTTTATATAAAAAAACAGTTTAAGATTTACTAAAATGCAAAAAACTTACAGTTCCATAAGATGGAGTTCGATCTATGCAATGACATGTGCGCTCTAGTCAGTGTTTCATGACATAATGATCGAAGTATAATACAGGGTTGTGTCGTAGATTTCAAGATTACGTCTACACGAATTATTTACGTCAAATCTACGTGATGTTCACATGGTCTTTTTGATACGTAGACAATTTAGACTTGTAAACTATGTAGACCATTGTAAATTGTATCACTATAATATATATACATATATGTACAATATAATAAAAGAATTAAATTATAAAGCAGTCTTTACCCACAGCAGAAATGTATCCAAAATGTATCTAGGATCAAGCTAAAGATATACCACACATCTTTAGGATATTCTTGATTTTGAACATTTAATTATTCCGAGATTAAGATTAAAATGTAACCATGGTTACATTTTCTGCAGAGAATTTTTCTTACTCAAATGGTAGTTTTTTTTACATAAACGTTAAATTATATGTATTTATTAAATATTTAAATAAATAAATATATATAGTCTACTGACTGTCTACATAGATGCTATCAGGGTTATGCCGTATAGATTTTAAGATTACGCGTCTACACGGATTATTTACGTGAAATCTATACGTGATGTTTACATAGTCTTTTTGTTGCGTAGACAATTTAGACTTGTAAACCATGTAGACTATTGTAAATTGTATCACTAATATTTCTTACTCAAATAGTAGTTTTTTTTACAT